CTCATTTTTAAAGATAGTTCTTGGCAGCTTGATGGCTGCTTCCTGATATCTGATAAAATCAAACTTTTAGTACAGGATACAGATTTTCTTTTGACCAAACGTTAGGATGTAACTTGGAAAACATTATTATGTTAGGACAGCTTGGTATGTAGTTAAAAGTAATATTCTTTGGGTATTTCTTATAATCAAAACAAAGTCTATTAAATGTAACAATGCCTTTCAGAGTTCAAAATTGACTTAAACATGTTGTGATCATTAGAAAGGTATCAGTAAGCCATTAAACCTCTTCAATGACCTTTTCTTTCATTATACTTACAAATCTTGTTTAATTGTTAGTATTTTTGTTATACTTGCATAAGTTTGAGATTTCAAAATCTTTCAGTTATTTCTTTAATTATTTGAACCTCCCACTGGATAAATTAGTAATAAAAGATCTCCTTAACATGTTTTTATAACTTCTGATATTTTCTTATTACTACTTGAACATTTTTATTTTTGAATTGTTGCCAATTTTGTAATGTCAACGAATACTTGTTGTCACTTTCGTAATGCTCATTGTAGTAGACACTTTGTAATCACAGACACAATTATAGTAATGCTGTTGAACAATACTGATGTCATATGCTTTTGAATAACACTTGCACTAATAGTACTTGCTCGATAATACTCGCTTATGTTTGCTCTCTGGTGATCTGTGTTCAAACTGCAGTGTTGGCAGTGACACTTTATTCCTATATAACAGGTGATAAAAAGATTAATATCATCTCATCTATGCCATAATATCTTCCTTTCTTTTTTTTTTTTTTTTTTTTTTTTTTTAAAGATTTGTAGGTATTTGGGAATCAGTCCTGATGATTACCTGGAATTCAGTCAATTAGTTAAGTGCCATACGTAATATACGCTTGGGTGATCATGTCTCTTTCGATTCATGGATGACTAGGTAGAAGATTTTCCTGCAGTTGGTGGCCATTTCTTTTTTTGGTAGACTGACTGGCAACAAAGGATATAGGACCAATTCTGTCCTGCTATTCAACCCATAGCTGGTAGGAGAAGAGATGGATTCATACCTTTCCAATGCGTATTAAGTAAATGTAACTGGAATTTGAACTTGCTCTCATTCTCAGCTGATATCCATTACACCACATCACACATCTGATTCCTGAAATTAACAAACTTATTCCTCCTAAAACTAAAAAGTTGTGTATATGTGTGAAAAGAACACCTTATATTTAACTGAGCATTTTGGCTTCAATTCTAATGACTTCTTGTTGAATTGAATAATGAGCATATTTTTTGTGGTATGGGTAGTTGTATAGCTATGAATAGCTATGCTTTTGTTAATCTTTTTAAATATTTTAAAATTGTATCATTATCATCATCAGTCCCATGACTGGGTATGATTGTAGTGTCTCTGCACAGCTGAACACCTGACCAGTTTCTCCATATATCTGGGTTGAAAGTCAGAGAGGTATTCATTCATGTGTAGCTTGTCTTGGGCAAATAGACTTGGCGGAAGCCATTGCTCTCCAGATCAAACCACTGCCAATGTTCTCCAACTTGAGGGCTTGCCTTGGTTACAGACATGACCGTTGATTCCATTGGGGGAACCTCTACTCTGTCCATTGACTTCAGTTTTGGAATTCCTCTGCACTAGAGTGGCTACAGGCATAACTATGAAATCCAGTTTACCCCACTGCGATAGGTGGCTGAGGACCTTACAAGAAAGTTCATCTGTCCTTTTAGAGGTCTTGTTTTTAATCCTGTCAGGTGTCTTGCGACCTTCCTCACTAGAAAAACCTGGTGGGGAACCAGTTTAGTCTCTAATGACCAAACTATGCAGCAAGTAAAACTGAATTACATGATACTACAGCCTGTCTGAGGTTATTATGCAAATCAAATAAACCTCAATAACTCAAAAAATTCTAAACCAATATTTGTCAAACTCATCCATTTCCACATTTTCTACCATTTTTAATGATTAGTTTTGAGATATTTGGAATTTACAAAAGTGGACTGACTGAAGATAATATGCAGATTAAACTAATATTAGCTTAAGACTTCTGTAATCAAATAAAAACTATTTTTTCTTTTTGTCCATAATATATGTTGAAACATGGGTAATGGGAAGAATCTAACAACTGTTGAAAAACAGAAAATAACAAAGTTATTAAGTAAGGGAATGTCCACATTGGGAGATATCAAAGGAGCTTTTTCAGAGATCATTGAATGATAAAGAAGGCTGTTGAAAATATAAGTAAGTTGAGAACTCAAAGCAATGGAAAAGGCTTTAAGAACTTACTTCCTTGAGATGAACGTAAGCTAGAGCGAGTTATAGTGAAATAACAACTTTTAACCAGCGCTCAGATCTGTGAAAAGGCTGTAATTGACAGAGTCAAAAAGGTCAAAAGGTATAGAATACTTTGTGAATTGGGATCTGTAAAACAAATCTCCTAGGAAACCTCCTCTCACTAAAGCAAATATTTTAAAGTGTCAAAATTGGGCCAAGAAATAAATGAAAATTGACTTTTCTAAAGTAATTTTCATGGATGAATCTTGAGTGACTGAAGGACCTGATGGATGGCCAAAGGACAGATTTTATTCAATTCAGACAAACCTGTGGCTAAAAGAAGGCAACAAAGAGGTGGTAGTGTTATGATATGGGCTGGAATTATTGACCAAACCATTACTGGACCATTCAAAGTTGATGAAGGAGTTAAAATGAAGTGATAACTATTTTAGTTTACTTTCTTTGCATGGTACAAGTCCCAGTCTCACAGTTTGAAAGTGATGTGTGTAATTATGCAGGGCAATGCTCCTTCTCATGTATGTAAATTTACCCAGGAATTCTTTGAGCATACAAGATTTACAGGAGAGAAGATAATGGAATGGCCACCATCAAGTCCTGATCTGAATCCGATTGAATATCTATGGTTAAGTGTGAAGATGAAATTACATGAAAGTGGCAAACAATATAACCGCAAAGCAGACCAATGGAAAACAATTAAAACTACCATGTTGGAAATTGAATCTGCTGAAATAAAAAAAAAAAAAAAATTAACAAAATCAATGGAAAATAACTGAAGAAAGGTCACTATATTAAAATGTAAAGGGTTCAAAGACTGATGTGTTTGTTATTTGTTCTATTATAGGTGTTGATCAGTTTTTGATGATTTTATTACCTTTTCATTGAAGTAAAATATGATTATTTGGTTTTGCGTAATAACTTCAGATGGCGGTTTTTTAGAATACATCAAATAACTTCAATAAACATATTGCTACTACCTAAAATTTTAACTCACGATTTGTTTTGACATCTAAATTGATTGATTAAATTTTGACAATTTTTTTTCAAACCAAGTTTGAATTATTGAAGTTTATATGATTTACTTAATAACTTCAGACAGGGCACTCATAGCGTGTCCTGACATAACAAAATTGTATATTACCTTTTAAAAAGTTCTATATAGCAGCTGTGTTACTGGCAAATTGCCTACACTTTTTCCAGTATGAAAAAGTTCTAAAAACTCCTTGGGATAACCAAGAAGAGAATGATCTAGGATGATGAAATGTACATGATATTCCACATATTCACACTTGGCACATTGTTTTTCAAGTTTCTTCAAGTCTTTAAGAAAAAAATTCTTCACATTATCTGTAGAGTTAGTGGCCATTGTTAAATGTTAATTAAATGACAGAACTGCCCAACAAACAGAATTGACAAAGTTTGCAATAAGCAACAAGGAAAAGAAAAGAACATGGCAAAAAATAATATAAAGCAAGCAAACAATATATACAAGGCAAAATAACAGTAATATGGCAAAAAGTTCACAAACTAAGAATTGGGGTTGACATAGAAGAGCAAGTTTGGACAAGCAAACGTAGCATTCTGACTTCAAGACAAGACAGACCAGGACTGAATCAGATGAAACTGAGAACCAGACTATTTTATTGAATAAGAAAAAAAAATCCCAGCTTCTGCCTATAAATTGGGGAGGGGCAAGTGTTTTGCAATCATTCCTAGTATAGATTGGAACTAACACTACACATCATTTTGTATTACAAAAAATGAACACCAATTTTACAGTTTACCCTCACCATTTTCTTTTTTTCAATGCTTTCATCAGCTCAGTAAGTTAGTCATATTTTGCATTAACTTTTTTACCTTTCTGAAAATAATCATTCATCAAAATAGCTTTTTTACTCCCTAAAAACCATAATCATTACCTTTCCTGTTGATTTTCTGGATCTAAAATTGCTTTGGCTCTGTAGAATCTGAGAGCTGCCAATGTATGTGCTGTTGTTTGGTTTTTGTTTCTTAGCATATTTCATTAGCAGTGACTTGCTAAATCACTTAAAATGTTTCAAAAGCAAATTGGAAGTGTCTTCATAAATTGTAGGTTTTCCCAACTGCTTATGAATTATAAATCCATTAATGCATTGGTTAGATTTATCTAGTGTCTCAACAATACTTCTGGTTGAGATTTGTCATTTCATGACAAATAATCAAGAATTTCAGGAATTGACACCATTGAAGGCCTTCCACACAGTGTTGTCTTGGTTCTCAAAATCTCCACACTGGAAGTAGGTATACTTATTCCTCACTGTTAAGTATACTAGGCACTCTGTCACCTAGCTTTTGCATCATAGAATCATGTATTTACTTTTTGGGGTTTTTTCCAGATGAACTTAATGAGGGGTCAACACTTGAAAATTCCACACTTTCCATTGACATGGTTCAGTGAATAATTTGAAACAAATTAAAAAAATAAACAGCCAGTGAATTCTTTGAATTGCTGCTGTACAATGTAAAGGAGCATTCTTTACATAAATAGTAACAGAACAAGGCTCATATTTTAGGAAGAGGATCAGGTTGAGAACTTTTCAGCACCCTCATGTAGGTACTTAGTTATTTCATAGAGATTATAGTGTTTGATAATAATGATAATTGTTACATTAGTATTTTTCATGTTATTACTTAACATTTTACTGTTTATTTTCAGTGTATAATGCTATGAATGAATACCTGAGTGAATGCATCAAAGCTGTAATGGATTTTATGACAATTGAGGTAAGTATGTCATGTGTTTTTTTGTTAATCATTTTCATGGCAAATTACACAGTGTTGCTGATAACAAGACATCTTAAGATTCACAAATTCTTCCTTCACAATAAAAATTATATGAAATCAGTCTTTTATATAGTGTACCCAGAACAGCACACAAATGAAACTTGATTCCTGTAGTGAATTTAAGTATCAGCGTGACATTGCTTCATTTAAAATAATTTTCTACATTACACTTATCCCTTTTGATTGTTTTTATTATTCAGTATTTTTAATAAATCAGGCATTTTACTGTAGCAAGGTTTTTTATTTTTAATTCTTTTTGTTCATACTTTTAAGGATCTTGTTCAATAATTTAGCTAATATTAAAAACTAATTTTTAGTTATTACTTAGCTGTTTTTATTTGAATTAAAAATTAATTTTGTAAACATTTTATTAACAATTCTGATGTAGAGGGTGTTATAACAACATCAATAATGTTGATTATTATGATAAGCACTTCCGGTCACACTAGGGAATGCTGGGAGCAAGACAGATCCAGCAGGCAGTTTTAATAAATAAGTTGTTAAGTTTAGCATATCTTGTGTCATTTCGATTTTTCAATGTCATATAACTTATCTAACTTATCTAAGCCCAGTGGGACAAAACTTACATTTTTTTTACAGTAGGGTTCACCCTATACAAGGCCTGGGGGTCACTCGAGGTAAAGGGTTACATTAAGGGTTAGTTTATATGGATAGGAGGGGAAGATACTGGTTAACCCTAGATTTGAACGGGTTAAGATTGTAGTGATCGGAGAAACATCCTCTTGGGAGTCTGTTTCATAAGGCAGTGGTTTGTGGGAAGAAGCTGTTTGACTGGAACTTGCTGATGGTATACAGAGAGAATGTGGGTGATTTGCTACTATAAATGGCATGGCGGGCCCTAGCCATGAAGGTTAGGCCTGACGGAACCAAGAAATCTAGTTTGTCTGAGCACTTTCCATGGAAGTAGTGATAGAACAGTGAGAGACTCGCTACATCCCACCTGTGAGAGAGGTTGGAGGGTGGAAAATAATTCTTCTCCAACAAAGACTCAGAGACTTTTTTGAACTCTATCAAGTCAGGAAAATGAGGTCTTGGCAGCAGTACTCCATTTTTGGCCTGATCTGACTTTTATAAAGGTAGAGGATAGCATGAAGTGTCAGTTACTTACTGGAGTGATACAGTGAGCCGATCATTTTAACTGCATCTTTAGTGATGGATTGTATATAGGAGTTCCACTTGAGGTCAGGTGAGTTTTAGGTCTAATACCCTCTCAAGGCATGTGGCCTCCATTCATTGTGACTGGTGACAGGTCAATGTCTGATCAGTGGTGATGGAATGTAACTAGTTTGGTTTTAGAGGCATTAAATCTAATCAGCCACTGAGAAGTTAGTGCTAGATCAGAAGAGAGATCAGCTGCCAATCTTTGATCATTAACAGTTTTAGAGGTGCACCCGTATATTGTCATATCATTGCCATAGATATTTACAAATGATTGGAGTATATTCTTAGGTAGATCATTTATGTACATCAGAAAGAGGGTTGGTTTGAGAGTAAACCTTGTGAGATGCCTGTATTGACCACCAGGGCCTCAGAAGATTGGCTGTTAATAACTACCTTCAGGGATATACCTGTTAGGAAGGATTTTATAATAAAGAAAACCCTTCCAGTGATTCCATTGCTGGAGAGCTTGTGTAGCAAACCTTTGTGCCGAACCTTGTTGAAGGCCTTCAAGATATCTAGTGTTATGGTCCTTGTGGTGTGTGTGTGTGTGTGTATTGTCAAGGACCTCACTAATTCTGTGTGTAATGGTGGTTAGGATGTCAGCAGTGGATGGGGCTAACCCATACTGCTTGTTGCTCAAGAGGTTGTTCCTATCCAGGTGCTCAACAACCTTCTTGTTGATTAAGGCCTCAAATGGCTTACTGTTGATACTGGGGAGTCTAATGGGTCTATACTGGGAGTGGGAGGATTGGTCGCCTGCATTCTTAAAGACAGGGCATATGCTTGCCACCTTCCACAGGCCTGGAAAAGATTTCTCCTTCAAGCAGCTGTTAAATAACTTTGCTGAGATCGGGGGTAATTCTAGGTTGATATTCTTAAGGACAACCACTGGGATTTTCTTTGGGCCATTGACTTTTCTCAGGTCAAAGCTTTTGATAAGTCTAGAGACTTCTCTTACGGGAATGAGTATATACCTGCGATTGTGCTCAGTGAGATGTGGGAAGTTGGGGAGGGGATGACCTTTGTCATTTAACATTGAGTTTGAGGCAAAGATCTAGGTGAAGAGCTTCGCCTTATTTGTCAAGGAGTATATGACCTTGAGACCATTTATAATTGTGGGCACAGCCACTTTACCTCTGTTCATAATTTGGTTAGTGATCTTCCAGAATTTGTGAAATCCAATTTGTTTCTTTTCAACCTTGGTCTGGACAGTTTGTGCATGGCTGCACTTTGCATTTTCCAGAACTCTCTTACAGTGATTGTGAACGGTTCTGAAAATAGTAAGGGCCAGACTACACTGATCCTTGTGATAAATTTTGTAGTGGTGGTTCCGGTGAGCTATGGCTGGAGGGGTGAACCAGGGCTGACTGTTTGGTTTTTGATGGAATTTTTTGTGCGGTATAAAACACTCTATTCCAAAAAGGATCCATTTAGAGATTAGGGCAGCAGCTTTGGAGGCAGCATGTTTGAAGAAGGTTGGGAGCGAAGCTTCTGTCATATAGGACAGAAAGCTGTCCCAGTATGTCTTTGTTTAACAAAAAACTGTTATATGGAATGGTAAATCAGGGGATGTCATTGGTTTGGAGTTAATCTGGACACTGACTAGGGCAGGATCTGACATGCCAATAGCTGGGTAAAACTTTTGCTGAGCATTTGTCAGGGCAGAATGTTAGGAAAAGGTTGAGGAGGTTTGCCTTTTGTCCTGTTGCAACTGGGACTCATGGTTCTTCAATGCTCTGGGTTAGTTTATAGCTTGCTGTTGTCTATTTTCAAGAGGCTATGAAATGTTAGCCCTTAGTGTTTGCATTAGAAACTAACTGGTGGTTAGTGCTATTCCCAAACCAGCATAGACTTCTAATTATGTACAGTATAACCTGTTTTGTGATGCATTTTTATTATATTTTGTGTTGGGAGTATTGTTTAGCTTAGTATGTACTGCAGAGTGTCTGATAGAAACCAAAATAACAGTACTCATGAGAAATCAGTGTCTTTATAGTCATTTATTTTAAGTAAGTATTAAGTTTTTTTTCTATTTATACCCCGAACAGGATAGCACAGCCAGGCAACAAGCTACAACGATGCAGCAGTGAAAGTATTAATTTTGTTCATATTTAAATTACAAATGATTATCTTTTCAGTAAATAGTCATTTTCAATAAATTATCTTTTGACAGCTATTTAAAAACTGTTTGTTACAGACTGAAGAAGCCATGAACAGTGACTTTTTGAAGAGAGATTATCTTGACAAACACATCAAGAAGAGCTCTGTAGATTTTAGACTGGAGTTTGTTTTTTTTTCTCAAATTTTGTTTTTCTAATGATTTTCAAAAAAAAAGAAATTTAAGTGTTTATGACATAATTAGAAAGTTGTTAATTACTTTAATTTTATTTTGAATATTTTTATGTTCATTTTTTTATTTTTGTATTTAAAAAAATGATCCTGTTTTAGAACTGAAATTCTTCAGTGTATAATCTATTTGTTATTTCTTTCTTTTTGTGACTCTTCAGTATGCTGACCTTCTGTCTGCAGACCAAATTGAAACGGGAATATCAAAAATCCTTGCACAGTACAGTGAAGTCTTTGATCAAAATTTTGATCGTTTTGAAGTAAGTTTATTTTATCCTGTAACCATTTTTAAAACTGATTTATTGGTTAACATCTATCTGCTGTGTCCCTTCAGAATGTAAGCAATCATGGCTCTCCACAATTTCCTGTCCATAGTAGCTCTTAATAACTTTTGTCTTTTTGCCATCTCTCCCAAACCCTACTTTGTCCTCCTTTCATTCAAGCTCACCAGGTACGTCATATGTTGCTTTCCTCTTATCCTCTTACCTTCAATTTGTCCTGTGAGTATCTGATTTTCCAAGCACTTTTTTCTCATTATGTGCCCTAGAAATTTCAACTATCTCTTTCTGTTGTTAAGTATAAGTGTCCTTTTGGTTGCCATTGTCTCTAGAACTTTGTCACTACTCCTGTTTGGTCCATTGTATTCTCAGTATCCTTCTGTAGAACCACATTTCTATTGTTTCAAGTCTCTTCTTCATCTCTGAGGAGAGTGTCCAGCATTCACTACCATAGAGGACTGATGCTACATAACAATTCAGTACTCTTTTCTTTGTTTCTAACAATATTTTTCTGTTTGTTAATATTTTGCTAAACTTTTGAAAGGCAACTTTCATTATCCCAATGTCCATTCAGAATTCCATGTCGCACTTTTCATCTTCTGTTAATATGCTTCCCAGATATCTAACTTGTTGCACCTGTTTGATTTTGGCATCTCCAATTGAATTTGCATGTTGGGATGTCCCTCTTGTTAACAACCATACATTTGTTCTTGCAATTGATGTTTAGTCCTTTCTTTTTAATTTCCTTCACTACTTTCTGTGTCTGCTATCAATGCTGTGCCATCTGTATATCTTATGTTGTTAAGATTGTGTCTTATTTCATTTTGCATGGTGTCATTTTCCTTTGGCTTAAAACCTATACATTATTTGCCAATACTGGAAAATTTTCAGCATCTAAAAAAAAAACAAAAAAACTCAAGACAATTATAGGTATTAATTATACTTAATCTTCTTAATCTTGAGTTTCAAATAGTTGGGAGAGTCCTGGATATGACAATAAACTATATCCGGCAACAAGACCTCTGATTGGGAGATTGGAGATTTTCAGGAGCGTGGAACCACCTTGTTGTTGTTTCCAGGTCTGCCCTGACCCAGGGTGGTAGCACTTGTTAGAGTCCAAACTATGTACAAATAGTGAAACCCCAAACAAAACACTATGAAAGTATAAAATTACATTTTTTTTTACTAAAAATACCAACAATACATTTTTATATAAAAAAGGACCAACAATAGATATTTATAGTAAAATGACCAACAATACATGTTTAAAGCAAAATAACTAGCAATACATTTTATCTATAGCTGAAAGTATATGATTGCATTCAAAATGAAGTCCTAAAATTGTGTTCAGATTATATAGATTTTGGCATTAAATAACCCATAGAGGTTGATATGCCACTAAACAAAACTAACCAACAATAGTTCAGTCTGGACAGATTTTTTTGAGAAAAATTCAACTAGGACATCCTTATTTTAACCACTCCTTTTTATTCAAATGAAATGCTTTGTCCTAGAATTGTCACAGTCTAGACTGAGGATTGGGAAAAAGAACTGCTTAAATATTTAATAAAAGGGATGGGTGGAATAAATATGTCCTAGGTGGACTTTTTCCCTGGCCTGTTTAAAACTCAAAAGTAACTGTTACAATGGATTCAAGGAAGCCTTTTGAAAATTTATTGCAGGTCTCTTTAGTGGTATGTGTAATGATAAAATTGCTATTGTTTAAAGTTTATGCGTTTTGTATTTATCATATATACTTGTGTACAAGCCAAATTCATATGTAGTGCAACCCCTGAATATTTTTGTGAAAAACCTGATTTTTTCATATAGCTTGTGTATGACATGACCCCCCCAGCTTCTGAACAATACTAGTAGGCCTAACATAGTCATATGTTACAGCAATGGGCATCATCCTGGACATATTTTACAGCAAATAAAGGGTTTTGATTCTTTTTTGTAGAAAACTACCTTAAAATGTTTATAAAAAACACTTACTGTAAAATATCAGATACAAAGATTTAGATACTGTACTTTTGTTTTTGTTCATGCCTGTGTATGGTAGTTACTTTACCCTGGGTCTGCCCCGATGTAATTTCTTCTATTTTGTTGCTACATGAAGAGCAAAACCTCATCCATTATGTATGCCCCTAAAAATCAATACCTTATATAAATGAAGAATTAATAGATTTTTCCTATCTCAAATTTTCATTCATTGTCGTTTCATAAGTGTTTACATTACTTTTCAATGACAACATTCATTATCATAATACGTTAAAAATTTCTAGTTCTTTCATATGATCAAAAAAATTGTTACAATCTTGGCTGCATGCATTGCATGACCTAAGAAAGGGAAGATATGGCAATTGTTAACACTCAATGAATGGAAACCTGATTTTCAAATTGAGATGCCCATGTAGCTACTTAAGAATAGTAAAGAGTTATTTGAAGGCATTAGGGCTCCAAATATAAAATATAAAAATATAAATAAACATCACAGTGCAGTATACTGAAGTATTTAAGAATGTTCATCAGACCAATTGGTTGTCTTTCTTTGAAGTTGAATCATTTTGTTGTGTCAAAAAGGGTAAATAGTATATAAAACTGTATTAACTTATGCCTGTTCAGTGGAAGCATTAAAAAAGAGGTGGAGGAGTTATGTTACGGGTGAGAATCACTGATAATGAATTTATGATGAACACATGTCAGTACAGATGTAAAAAGAGGCCTTGGATCACATGCAGATATGTTTGTCAACAGCAGTTACATCAGAGTTTTGCCTGTTACCAGTGGAACAGTTTGGCATGTCTAGATATGGGCCTCTCTGCAATTTGTCAAGATCTGGGTCTTTCTAATATCCTTCATGCCAATAAAAGCAGGGGGCGGGGAAAACCAGCAGTTGGCAAAAAACATTGTTTTGTGAAGTTGGTTCCATGGTCATTTTTTTCATCAAATTGCTGTGGCTTCTGAGGCAGTGTTATTTTTGTTAACTCCTGTTTTTTTCCCTCTCTGCCTATTTGTGACATCACCCCGGGGTCACTGCGCCAATCGTGACGTCTGCCTGGCTGCGCCCGCCGTGCTATCCTGGTTGCGGTGCCAAATGTGATGTCACCCCGTCTGTCTCTGCGCCGTTGCCGTCCTATCCTGTCCTGTGACGACCAATGTGACTTGGTATTGGTCGCGGCACCAAATGTGACGTTCTAACCTTTTGCTGATTCGGATGGGAATCTGGTTAGATTCGGTATCACCCTTGTTGTTCCCAGCTCGCCTCCAACGTCTGGTTACCGAAGTAACTGTTTTGATTTCTAGTCTAACCTACCCATGTTGTGATTTGATCTTAGGTAGACGAAATCAATCAGTCGCCGGCCCGTAATGCAAGTCGAGTCCGAACAAGGGTAATACCGCACAAGTATATATAAAAGAAAATAAAGTAACAACTCGAAAAGTTCGAATATGTTAAAAACGGATAACAATATTTTATATCTGGTTGCTGAATACAGGACTGCATCTTTCTCCCAAACCGCTAATATGGATTTGTGACACTTTGTGTTTGTTAAGCGAGTCTTAACATCTTATGTTGTTTTTTCTTTAAGAAACTGGTTCTTGGTGTAATTTCAGGCAATATTCATAAAACTTGTTTTGGTGGTGTGAGTCTAAGTTGTTCTTCAAAAATAAATTGTTCTTGGTTAGAAGTTGAGGTCGTGATTGCATGGATCTTTCAGTCAGATTCCTGCAAGGCGGGTCTCAGAGCTCACAGCTCAATTCTTGCCTGTCTTTCTAACCCCAACTAACTCAACTCAACTGCAAAACTGCCTTCTACTCGTTGCAACTCTGCTTATATGGACGCTGACCAAAACCGAGGTGGGCCTGTCGGGGTTTGAGGTGCCTTGATAATTCTAAATCCACATTAAGAATTTTTTTTGTTTTTGGTCAGGAAAATTTAATTTCCATTTTTGGAAGTCCTTAATTCTAGTTTAAGGGAATCGTCCTCCCAAATTCTTCCTTTCTCATGTTAGTATCTCATACCAATCCCTTCAGAAGCATCAACAGGTTTCCCCTCTCTCTCACAGTGACATCTCACACCTATCCCTTTAGGGGGGCGTCAACAGGCCTCCCTTCCTTCGTCACATGATTTCCTTCGCCTACCGCTCACACCACCATTCAGCCAATGGACGCCCATCAGCGTGGGTGTGGCTAGACTGGCCTCGGTTTAAAAAATCTTGCTCAAAGAAAAAAAAATTATCTTTTTTTTTTCCTTTTCTTTTCTTCTTCCCGACAACAAATCCTTACAACTCTTATCTTAACCGAACGCCGTCTGGAGTTCGTCAATCGAGATTTTCGCCAGCATCAAGTGGGTGGTCATCTGGCAACTTTGCACCCTGGTGCCAATTATTCGTTCCGATAAAATAATTTTGCTATCATGGCCAGCTCCAACACAAAACAGGTGCTCTTCTCAAATGATATTTCCGCAGATAGTTAAAGATTTAATCTTTCCTTCCTTGTACTCAGCGGGTGGTCCAACGGACATTTTTCGCAGTCAGAGCATGACCCAATTAATTTTTATCCTTAGCATTCTGCCTTGTAGGCCACTTGACCGATTTGAAATTTTCATTATCGCCATGGGTAGACGGCTGTCTTTTATTCGGTGTGTCGTCATAAATCAAATTAAACCCAGCAGAACTGAGATCTTCGCCAATGAAAATAAAATCTTTACCACTTTTCTTTGTTAGAAAAAATAACATCGCTCAGTGTCTTTTTGTGATAGCTTCTTATCACCTAATTTAATTCTTGCCTTGTTTTTTTTTTTTTTTTGCAACCCTAAATAGTGTCACATATTACCCCCATAGTTGTTGTGAGAGCAATCAGTTAGGTGTTTCCCCCAACCTCAACACACTCTTGCTGTACCTTACTACAAAATTGGTCCCTGGAAGATGGATAATGCATTAAATAACTTTCTACCTACATTGACTTCCTAAAAGCCAACC